AATAGCAGAAAACCCATTTTTTGCATTCAGCACTGGTCCAGATGTCAGGCATTTTTAAATAAGCAGCCAGCCTTGCTGGTGTGGGAAACGTGTAGTTCAAACATTGTAGTCAAACCATCAGCAAAGTATTTTCATGTTCTGCTGTAATTTGGAATTCCTGTTCTCTTTGGGGTTTTGCAAAACCAGTTGTAAGCGGGTTGGTGATTCCTGGTGACACTGTCATGCCTGGATGCATCTGCTTGGGGGTATTCTGACAAGGTAATGAGCTGCTAGCTGATTCTGACTTTTTCTTTCATGCCCTTTCTTCTCTTCTCCTTGCTATTTCTTCAAAGGCTGGTCACCAGCTGAGCCCTCAGTCCTTTCTCCTGCATTGGCCCAGCTGCCTACAGCTAAGTCTGCACTGAGTGTTTGACAAGGACCTCCACCCAGACACAGTGATTGACAAAGAACAGTGCACTTCCATCCTCAGTCTAGGGTGAAAATACACAAGTCTTGCAAACTTGTCTTGGGACACAAGGGAAGATGCAGCCTGTTGGGCAAGTTTGGGCCCCCTTACCAACCAGGGTGGAGGGAGTGATACACAACCACTCAAGATGCTCCACTACAGAGGATTTTTTCAAAAATTCCATGTCCTCTGTCCCCAGATGTGTGAGTGCTTTTCCCTTGTGATAGTATATTCCATAAATAGATCACCTTAAAAGAACATGTTTAGAAGTAACACATTTGACTTTGCTCTAGAACAGCTGGAAATAAAATCACTCAGACTAGACCAATTCTCAGACAGAATACTGAAACTAAGAGTTATGAGGCAATTTAGGGAACAGTTCCTTTTGCTGCTCATTTTTAACTGATGCCTCACAGCTAAGGCTGTCTGTGCCATAATTTGGACATGAGAACGCAGGATCAGAAGATTCAATAAATGTAAGTGCTGGGGCCAGGCTGGACAACATGTGCAATGACAAGTGGTGCAAGAATTACCTGAGTCCCTTTTCCACTAGTGAGGAATCAGCAAAACATTGCCATGCTCTATCTGCATTCTCTATGCACTCATTTCTTATGAGAGGGGCACAAAAGGCACCTTCAGCATCACCCATGGAAGGATTTTTTTATGGAGGAGGAATTTTCCACATAAAAGTCACTTTTAGCAATGCTCTAAAGTTGCTGAACAGCTACAAGCCAGACTGATGCCTGTAACTGTTATATTACATTGACAGTAAAATAATTTATTAAATATATATTTTCTTTCTTTTAGCTGAACTATTTAAACTTGATAATGTTCAGGAAATTGTCCTAACAAAAAGTGTCACTTTGGAAAGGTAAGAACAGGACAGCAAATACAAAATGAGTTTTGAAATCTAGAAAATTTTCATTTTTTTCTTTGAGTTCTTATGACCATCAACAATTTTTGGTTATTTTGTAGGATTTTGTTATTATTATTTTTTATTTTAAATAGGAAAAAAAAAGTTCCTGGAAAGATAGAAAAAGCTCTGTCCTTTTACTACAGACATAGTTACTATATTGGCATATTCAGTGTTCTCTCATTTCTCTTTACTAACCATGCTCTATATCCAAAAAACTGCAAACCCACTTATGCCCACAATGTTTGTTTTCATTAGTAATTGAGAGCTGAGGTTTACAAACTCTGGAAAAAAAGATGTCAAAGACATCAGCTGAAAGAAGTGTTCAATTTAGAAATTCTAAACTCTCTGAAAGAAGTGTTCAATTTAGAAATTCTAAACTCTAAACTTTGAGATAGACAACCACTGATACATAATTTTAAGAAAAAAATATATAGGTAAAAATGGGTTTGTTTAATAAGGTCAAAATTCACAAAGTTAAAAAAAATAATCAACTCAAAATCCCCGCCTCGGTCATCCTGTGGTCTGTGTTAGGTACTGAATTAAATTATTTAGTATAAACAGCAAGGAGATTTTAGAGGTCAGAATTATGTTATGCTCTTATTAAACTAACAATTAAACAAGGAAAAGCAGGCATCTGTGGGAAGGGCTGTAAAAGGCTGTGATAACATCTTTCAAAGTCTCCTGCTTTGGTTTAGGCTGAGGCTGGTTGTCCAATGGGAGAAGCCATTGTGGGTAAGGCCTGTGCTGACACTTACCTTCAGCTTAATTATACAGTGACCCTTAGGGTCAACAGATACTGTTTGAACTCCCAGTTGCAGATTAGACAGCAAAATAATAACACTCTGAGTATGGACCAAATGAGATAAGGTTGGTAGAAACTGCACTGAATGATAAATCATTGTTCTTATGTCAATATGGAAGACAACTCTGTGGCTTCATCTTGATTTTTTCATAGACTTGGTTTATTTGTGATGCTTTTAAACTCAGTCTGTTATGTAAATGTTCTCCAAGTGCTGTTTTCATAGGAAAGAAAATAATTTCTTTAGGGAGCAATGTAACTTTCCAGTCAGTGAAAGCTGTGATTAAAAATGGCATCATATCAAAAGCTACTGTGCTACCTGCAGCCTGGATACAGTCAGATATCTAATCTTTTTAAAAATATTGCCTGCTTGATGGCAAAAATGGCAGAATTTTTAACAGTTATGTAAAGTTCATGTACAAAACAAATGCTAATTACACTGCAAGGTAATTGGGTGATGAGACCTGTATTAGAATGGAGACATTGAGTGGAGAGATTTGGGTGACTAAGTACCACAAGCTGTGTAGTTGAACGTGCCAGCTCCTAAATGAAATGGCATCTGTGACTTATAAAAAACCAATGCTGTAAATGAAGTAATGGAAAACAACCATAAAATGTATCTGGTAAATTACTTTATTAATATTTCAGAAATAATAACTGAGGTACTTCTGTTTCAACACATAAAGGCATAGACCTTTCTAACTGAAATATATTAGTGCATGTATTTAATTCTTCCATCTCTGATTCAATTGAAAGCTGAATATACCTGCTTCTAGAGTGAAGCCTGGTGAATTAGGCAATGCTTCTCTTTCATGTAATAGGTACTCTGTTTTTCTCATTGGCTTAGAGAAAAAAACACTGATCTAATTTAAAGACTTCTTTCTTTCATGATTGATGTTCACCCCACAATCTGCCCAAAAAAGAACAGCAATTTTGTGGCTAGTAGAGGAGAAGAATACTTTTTATATGTTGATGATTATTTAGCGCTTTAAAAAAGGCCTGTCTTCAGAGCTCTCCTTATGGATCAGGCTTGGGTGTACTAGAATCACTTAGAAGTGGGATGCTAGGTATAAGCCCTACAAAGCTGAGACAGGCACCTGCCAGGCACCTGAGCTCCATCAGAGCTGAGCTGCTAGACTATCTTCACAGAAACTGTCTGATAGGCATAAAACCTGAGGGAATTGATAGAAAACACCAAAGGCAGAAGCATGCCTGAAACTGGTTCCCCACATGGCCTCATGATCATGATTGTGGATGGTAAAGTCTAAGAGTAAAATTTATACCATTAAGCTCACCTCTTCTGTTTTGCCCTGATTTTTAAAAGTGTTAAGTTGTCTTTTATAGTTCTTTTGAAAGGGCTGTTGGTTTGACCAGTGTGGTTGGAGAGGTGGAAATTTCATCCTCCAATCCACTGTAACTTTTGAAACTCTATATATTGTGAAGTCAGAATTAAAACTTGCTCTTTTTCTCTTTTAAACTTACCAAGCTTCTGTATACTTATTTCATGTCAAATAGCAACACTTCTGCTTTGGCTCCTGAAGGTCAACAGCACTACCCACTTGGGAAGTGAGAGAAGAGTGGATCACCCCTTCTGTGGGGAGGGGTTTCTGTAGGGGTTCATAGGTTTTGCAGAGCAGATAGGGTTGCTCAGGTTTGGTCAAAAGTAGAATCTAGGTGTGTGTTCCAACTCAACTTGTTGAGTCAGTCAGGCCAGAATAAAAAATATGAGCAAAAAAAATCAGATTTCATCGTGTCATGGGTACAGTAAGAAATACTGAAGTAAAAATTTCTGCAGAACTACTTGTATTTCTGCATAACTGTGTTTTGTTTCCTCCTCACCTTTCTTCAGTTGTCATGAATAAAAATGCCTGACCAGTCTGACTCATGTGCAATTCCTAATTTCAGGTTTGTATCACCAAAAGAGAAATGTCACAAAAGCATCTTTCTTAAATTGGATGTTTTTATTAATAACTATTCATCAAGAGTTTTGTTGGGTTTGTGCTGATGGAAATGATGAAAACTGATGAAACCACATAGAAGTTTAATTTGTCCCTTAATACAGAGAAGAAAGGAAAAAGACAAAGAAGTGTTCATAATGTTCTGTGAAAGTAAAATTCCTTCTTTATTTTACCAGATAAAACAAGTAAAACTATGTTCTTTTCAAAAACTGCTTAGCAAAAAATGTTTTGCATGTGTTTTTAAACACCTAAATAAGTTTGCACAGTCCAGAATCTCAGCACTTAGAAAAATCACTTTATCAGTGGACTTAGCAAGAGCAAGGCCCTGTGGGACAGACAGAAGCTGTGGAGAAAACACAAGCATAGTCTGATGTACTCTAATGCCGTCTTCTCTCTGGAGGTCTGTTAAAAATTTTTAGACTGAAGGGAATTGTCATTACTGAATCTATTTACACTGCTATTTTTAATTGGAGTGAAACTTGTACAGATGATGCTACAGATGCTTAATTTTACTGATACTGAACCTGTTTCATTAATATGCATGTTGACTGAATAACTAACTATGAACTTTCTAAAATGTGCTTCTAATTACATCAGCATTAAATATTAACTAGAAAGCTGACTCTGTCATTCAGTCACATTCTCATTTTCCCAGCTTATCTTTACATGTGTGTTGATAGAAGTAGTTACTTTTGCTGGTAATTCAATTTATCATAAATAAACACATTTCTCATGGTTGTTACTTAGCAGAATGGAGTAATTTCACCATGCAGGTGGGTGAAAGCAGTGTTCATTGGAGGATGGGTTTGGGGGTGCAACTTCTCATAAAAATTTTGCCCAAGGGATTTTGTGCTATCTTTTCTCTCTCTTCTTCCTCTTCAGGGAATATTTGTCCTAGGATTGCCATATGCTCTCCTCCACAGTGGATACAGTGGTCTACTTCTTATTGTCTTGGCTGCAGCATTATGCTGTTACACAGGCAAAATTCTAATTGCTTGCTTGTATGAGGAAAATGAAGATGGGCAACTGATAAGAGTGAGAGACACGTATGAAGATATTGCAAATGCCTGCTGCAAAAAGCTGCCTCACAATCTAGGTGGTATAGTTGTCAATGTGATACAAGTGGTGGAACTGATCATGACATGTATTTTGTATCTGGTTGTTAGTGGGAACTTGCTGTCACACAGTTTCCCATATGTACCTGTGACTGAGAAAACTTGGTCTGTAATTGCATTTGTTGCTCTGTTGCCTTGTATATTTATCAGAACTCTCAAAATTGTTTCCAAACTCAGCCAGCTTTGCTCTTTGGTTCATTTTGTTATCATCTTTGTAGTGATAACTTACTGTCTCACACAAATGCATCAATGGTCCTGGACAAAATTCAGACTCTCCCTTGAATTTGAGGACTTTTTGGTCTCTGTAGGGGTGATCATTTTCAGTTACACTTCACAAATATTTCTTCCCACACTTGAAGGTAATATGAATAATCCAAGGGAATTTAGGTGTATGCTAAACTGGACTCATTTTTTTGCCTGTATCTTGAAAACAACCTTTGCACTTACTGCTTTCTTGACCTGGGGTGAAAAGACAAAGGAAGTTATTACTGACAACCTGCCATCATTTCTGGAAACCCTAGTAAATTTATGTCTCTTAACCAAGGCTCTTCTTTCTTACCCTTTGCCCTTTTTTGCTGCAACAGAAATTGTGTATTCTTGTATTTCTAAAGACAACCATTCCAATTACAGATCTCCACTACTTGCTCTGACTGTAAGAAGCTCATTTCTCTTGTTAACTCTGTTGATGACCATGTTCACACCACATTTTGCCCTGCTGATGGGTTTGTCAGGCAGTGTAACAGGTGCTGCTATGACTTTTCTTCTTCCTTCTCTCTTCCATTTAAAACTTAAATGGAAAAAAATGTCCTTCATAGAGAAATGTGCAGATATCTCTGTTTTTATTTTGGGCTTCCTTTGTAGCCTTGCAGGCATAGTTTGCTCAATAAAAGGGCTGCTCAAAATATTTGGAGGAGTGTAAAAGATTTCCTAAGATACAAATAAGGTATATATAAATCTTATATATACCCTGTTAGTCAGTGTATATGTGATTTTGTCACCAGGTAGAATAAAACATCTGCTTAAATGTTTGCAGATTCAAGTCTTTAACTGAAAAATTACGTATCTCTAATAAACCTGGAAAATAATATTCATAGCCAAAAAGTACAAAATTGGGCCTCTTTAAAACATTAAAAAGTGTTTGAAATGGTTTAACATCAACATAATTGTATGTAATCCTACATGGTTTTAGTCATACATGGCATGCACATCCTGAAATTACTATTGCAAGTGATTTCACCAATTTAACCAGAATTCTTCTTAGGGTTAGATACTGTTCAGTCTCAAAGCTATCAAAACTAGCTTACAGGATGTGAGTGAGAAAGATCACAGAATCACAGAATTCTTTTGTTAGATTTATTATTGAAAATGGATGAAATATAATTTCACCTCATTGGCAGACTGCAATTCAACATGTGAAAAGAACAAGTCAGTGAATTTTGGTTTTATGTAAGACAAATTCTACTACTTGTTTTTTAAATGAATAGGCAAAAAGAGAGCTCAGTTTAGAACAGCTTTGAAAGTCTGCTTTTATCATGACTTCAAATTAAATACAGTCAGTAAAAGGGGCATTCTAACAGTTCAAAGTAATGGAAAAGAGATTTTTTTTTTTCTGAAATAAGGTATAGCCAATGACTGCGGTTTTTCTGCAAGTCTAACTCCTAAGATTCATGTCTCTGCAATGCAACTACTGTATTGGTTGTGTTACTAGAAGTCTCACTGGTAACATGAAAAAGTTATGCAGTTCACTTTCACTCTTAGGCAGGAAATTTCTTTGATCTGTGTATTTTATCTGATTCTATTAAAAGCTCAATGGAGTAAATCAAGTTCAACAAACAGACACACAGTTAACTTCCTGTACAATTGGATAGCTCTTTAGCTTTAAAAGATATTGGCTTAATAAAAAGATCAGCACTGCAATGTATTTCACATTAGTGATAAAACATTATGACGAAGCAATCTAATCAGAGTGCTCTAATGAATACATATTATCTTCTCACACTAAATCTCTGTTATAATACATAATTAAAGTAATTGTTTCAAAGAAGTAAGTATGCATTTTTGTTATCAACAATTTCAGACAACCTTGTACTATGTCATATGGAAAATTCTTTGAACATCAGAGTAAGACCGAGTGATGAAGAGCCCAGCAGTGTCTGCTTAACTGAGCTATTTTTGCTGTGTAGTTTCTCAGCATTAATGCTTCTGTTCTGCATGAGCAACAGTTCCCTCTCAAAGCTGATTTGCTGAATGATAAAAAACAAAGGAGAAGAGTTCTGGAAAGCCTTGTATGCCATCCTGTTCCTTCCCTGTCTGTTAGTGTACGCATACCACATGTAATAGTGATGAAAAGTTTATTAAAACAGATTAATTGCATTACAACAACATTATCAAGAAAACTGGAAATAACTAGTATCTCAGAATTTTATTGCTTCTTCCTGCAATGGGTCAAATTCTGCACTCAAATCCACAACACTTTGAATTATATAAAAATTTGTGCTGGAACAAATAGGACACTTTTTATCTTTATGTAAAATGACAAAATTACATTGCCCATTGAAAGAGTTGAAAGCTTATTATTGCTGCTATGACACAGTCAGAAAGATATTATTACTTGGATGATACTAATCAAAGGATTTCATTACTTTTTGTGGGGAGAAGTTTCATAGATAAACAAACATGCAGGAACAGTATTTGTTCAGTTTATCCTGTATAAATCTCTGAGGACAGAGGGAGGTTGTCCAAAGAATTTTGTAAAAACTCTTTCTCTTACTTTGCTTATGAACCCTCAAAAAAAAAATCTCTTTTCCTATCTCCTACTTTTACTTAAAGTGTTTTGTCTCTAACTCTTCAAAAAATCTTGGGATTGCCTCAGTGCATTTGCTGTTGGGGAAAGATTGAAAACCAAGATAAGGAACTTATTTTGTGGCAGTTTTAGGCATTCGCTAGCTCATCACTGTGATTCAAAATTGGCGTTAGCTGTACTTTCTTTTCTTAGCCTTTTCAAGAAGTCAATGCCCAGTCCTTTCAAGCCAAAGATGGTCACTCCCCACTTAATCATGCTCCCTCTTATGTAAGATCTTTTCTACAAAGATAAATGTTTCCTGCTTTATAAAATATGTCCTATTATTGTCCTTACTTAATAATTTATGTAATTTCTGTTAACATCAGGGAAAAAGCAAGGGCTATGATTAACAAGTCAGTACAATTGTAAATGCACAAAAGTGAAAGTCATCAAACTACAAGGCCTCGAGAAGTCACTTACAAAAGGCTCTAGATTAAGAGGGAAAACATAAAAGTTCAAGACTTTTTGTGGTCAGCACTCAGCAATTTTGAAATAATGCCATTGTTGTGGGACACAAGATATATGAGCTTTGCTTTAAAGCCATGGCCAGACATCTTGATGAGAAACTGTCTACTGGGCTCAAGATTAAAAAGAAACTCCCAACCTGGAAAGGCAAAGATGCATATATATACCCTACAGACTAAGCCTGAATGTGGTGCATAGCGCATTATAAAGACAAATAATCATGATGTAAGACTAACTTACTGGATTTCATTTCCTAAAACACACATTTGCATATTTTTATATATAAACTTATTTCTGAACATTTTCCAATCACAGAATTCTATTAATAGGATACGTAAAACATTTGCAACTTTCTGTATTAGACATTAAAATATGATCTACAGAATATTTTTAGAGAATCTGGAAAGGTAATGTTACCATAAATTATGAACCAAGAGGATCTGCATTCATCTAAGTAATGATACTTAGAATTTTTGTCACTAAATTTATACTACAAATCATTAGAATCACTGAAGCTAGGAAAGTAAAAGACTGACTAAATATTAATGTATTATTTTGGCCACTCCTGGATTATTAATTGTAGCATGATAGTACTTTATCAAAATTAAATATGAAAGCAAGTTGTGAACATGAAGAATATGCTATGGAAAAAAATATGTGCTGAAATAAAGCATTTTCAAACACTCTTGCTCCATTTCCTCTGCCAGTAGAAGTATGTGTAAAGGAACCTGCTCCCTTTCAGCAACAATAACACGGACATTGCCCAAAGTTCTTCTCCCATTTTGTAGGGAACACCCATCACTCTATTTCTACTTCTGATGGTAGTAATGGAGATTTAAGTCAATCAGATTACCCTAAAATTAAAATCTAGGCTCAGCTAAGTTATCTTAGGAACATCAAGTGTTTATTTATGAAGGTTTTTTAAACCTGAAATCTGAAATTAGACTGAAAACCTCACTCTATTGACTCAGTGGGAGAAAAATAAATTACTTAAATGGAACAATGTTCTAACACCTGAGGTCCATTAACAATATTTAATTTACTTTTACACCAAAGTTTGGTCATCATTTTACTTCCTTGCTGGAGTTTCTTTTCCACCTTATTCCATTGCTTCTCTTTTTCCAGCAGTGAGATAAATATATTTCCTGATGGTGAGAAATCATGTCTATCTTCTGACAGAGATGTCAGAAGAGCTACAGAAAAAATTATTGAGGCTAACACTATTTCATTACCTCTTCATCCTTGATTGCTCACTTTATTTTTTTTTTTTTATGAATTCTGTACTTCATGTACAAAATGCATGTCACAGTAACTGGTTACTCTGAAAAAGTGATTGCATAAAAATGGAACAAATAAGATGTCCTGCAAATGCTTCATTAAGTCAAGTTACAATTTTCAGTACTTGTTTTCAGAACTACCATGTTTTAAAAACTGATAGCTGATTTCTATAAGTAATTTATTCAGTTCTTCTTCATTCTTAATAATTATCTGGATGATATATTGGTCTTAAAAATATTCATCTTCTAAAATGAAGTAGAAAAAGAAATTTATCTCAGAAATGTTTTTATAGTATTCTGAGTTTTTGTTGTCCCAAGGGTTAATATGGGATATAAAATGTTGGGAAATTTATTGCGCTGTTTAGTTGCTGACAATGAATGTAAAAATACAGTCTAAAATCCACCTAAATATTTTTGTTCTCAGGATAAGTATTTGTTAAACTGTTGACACACTGACATTAGCTGTTCTTCATTCTTCCTCATCATCATTACCTTTATTGGTCAGATGTCTAATACATTTCTTTTCACACTCCCTCTTAGAGGGATGAGTCCTCAGATCATCATTTTACAGTTTTGAAGTGAATTCTCAGAGCAGAGATTAACCCAAGAAGGAATCCCAAGGAATCTCTAGGTTAATAGTTGTTATTATGCCATGCTTTCATGGTGATCCTGACAGTCAACATTGCTTTTTTTTTCTCTTGTTCATCCTTCCTTTTGTCTCCTTTGGCGGTTTGTGCCAGGATAACATGAAGGTAATAGCATGGCAAGCAGCCCATTTTGCAGCACAAATGTTTAACTGAAAGCTGCCTTTCTCTGTTTTTTTTTTTCCTTTTAAGATAGAAATATAAAATTATATAGCTAAAAAATTATATATAGAGGGATGCAGCACGTGGGAGAGGAATTAAAGGCAGAGTAAATGCAACACAAAAAGCAAAAGCGGAGATGAGGGGAAAATGTGGTAAAGGACTGAAAGAGGAAAACTGAAAACTGGCAAAAATTTGAGAAGAAGTAAAAAGGAAAAGAAGCATCACAGAAATTTAAAAACTTGGAAAAAGAGAAGGGCAAGGCAAAGTGGGAGAATTCATTTAATGTATGATTTAATATCATCTATAAACATTTTCTACAGTTTTGCACAAACAGTGATTCAAACTATTCCGGGTACTATAAGTAAATATATTCTGTGTGTGAACAGTTTTCCTTTCTTTCACTTCCCCATAACCCTTATGAACTCAAAACATTTAAAATAAAATCATTCTCATTTGTGTGGAAGCTCTATGTTTAATGTTTTCTGTTACCCAAAGGAATATGAAAGCTTGTTAAATAAATAGTATTATA